CAAGACGTTGGCTCGTGTGAGCCGCCTGTACGTCTGGCCGAAGCGCAAGGACTTTGTGAAGGACTACGTCGCAGAGTGTCCCACCTGTCAGGAGGTGAACAGTGCGAACCACCTTCCTTATGGTTTGCTCCAGCCTCTTCCTATCCCTGAGGGTCGTTGGCAGTCCATCTCGATGGACTTTATCGGTCCCCTTCGTCCTCCGACCCCTCGCGGTCATGATGCTATCCTGGTCGTCGTCGACCGCTTCACGAAGCGTGCACGCTTTGTTCCGCGTCGCTATACCATCAGTGCACGTGAGGTCGCCGACATCGTATTTGACCGAGTCGTGCGTGACCACGACTTACCTCTGAGCATCATATCTGACTGTGACCCGCGCTTTACCAGCCAATTCTGGCGACGGCTCCACGAGGTGTACGACACTCAGCTCCGCTTCTCCTCGTCTTACCATCCTCAGACTGATGGTCAGATCGAGATCACAAACAAGACTCTCGAAGATATTCTCCAAAAGATTGTTTGTGACGACCAGCAGTGGGATCACCATCTTGCCCACGCGGAGATAGCCTACAACCACGCCGTCTCGCCAACCACGGGGATGTCGCCTTACTTTTGCGACCTCGGCTATCACCCTCGTGTTCCCGCGGACTTCCCTCGACCGTCCCAGTTGCATCCCTACACGAGTTGTCCTGCGCTGGACGATTGGGTTGCACACATGACGTCGATCATGAAGACCGCACATGAGCACATAGCCGCTTCCCAGACTCGCATGGCAGCACGTGCGAACCGATCGAGGATGGATCATCCATTCAAAGTCGGTGATGATGTGCTTATCGACGCCTGCCACTTACAGCTCGAAGCGGACACGCTTCGCAAGTTTCGGCGTCGCTTCTTTGGGCCATGCCGCATCCTCCAGGCCGTCGGTTCTGATACGGCATCTAGCCCGGTCAACTTTCGTGTGAAGCTGTCCGACTACCTACACCAGGCTCGTGTGCACGATGTCTACCACGTCTCGTTACTGCGTCCTTACCGCAGACCGTCTGAGCGTTTCGCTGGACGACCATACGAGCACCCTCCACCCATCATGGTGGACGGCCAYGAGGAKTTCCTCGTTTCAGACATCATTGGTCGYCGAGTCACCGACGACAACCCTCCCCACGTCGAGTATCTCGTACGTTGGAAGGGTTACCCTGATGAGGAGGCTACCTGGGAGCCCCTCGAGCACTTGCAGCACGCTCGCATGTTGGTGCGTGCCTATGACCGTGCTCGTCGTGCTGGGTTCACTGCTTCTCCTCAGCCCACTGACCCTCCTCATTCTCCCCCGGCGGAGGAGACCGCTGAAGTGGAACCTGCTCCATCTGAGGCAGACCTTCAGCAACAGCCGGATGCTTCTGAGCGTCCACAGCGGACTCGTCGTCATCCTGCTCGATACGACGATTGACTATGACTTACCTTCCCACGTCCTTGACTTCTCAGTACTCCATCCACATCAGTTTTGCTACTTCAGCTTGTCGACGCTGCGGCTCTTCCTCGACGGCATTCCAGACTTCTCATCGTGGACGACATCGGCAGCTTCATGGACTTCGTCACGATCAGCTCTGCCTACTTCAGACGTCGCCACTCTCTTACCACTTTACCCTGTACAGTATCCTGCTTGTGTCGCATGATGGTCTCCCTTTAGCCGGGTTCCTCTGAGTTGGGCTCTCCCTTGGTATACGCATAGGCATCGGGACCGTAGCGTTGCCCTGGCTTCCCA